ACAGAGGAGAAGGAGAGGAGGGCAAGAAATTGGCCAAAAGCTGAAGACTAAATTGACATATAAGATCAAGATATTTTTTAAGAATGAAAAAGTCTGATATTAAGTTTTGTGTTGTTGACACTTCTGTACAACCTACAAAACCTACTTCATTTTGACAAACTACAGGTAAATTTCATCACACACAGACCTGTGTGAATCAAGTGTTTGTGTGGAATCAATGGGAAGATTTTACCTCTGAGTTGGTGGGGTCTTTGACAGGCAGAACCTGTAGGGGAACAATTCAGTCCATAAACTCTGCTAATACTTTGGAAACAGAAGCTCATGAGATGTGAGCATGAAGAAGGTAAGAATCCCTACAGAAATTCACAGAAATCTTGGGAGAAATGTTAGACATTGCAAAGGCTAGGTGATATAGGTTTAAGCTAATTTTATCCTGAGAGAAGGAGATGGGCAACTGCAGCTGTTAATTCAGGTTATAATTCGTTTAGGTGTTTATAATTCCAGGAAAACAGAACTACTTTTCCAAAAATTAGGTGTTTATTACTCCTTAAAAATTAGTCCTATGATTCCCTGACCCATCAATAGTAAAGTTAAAAAATTGTTTAGCTCTCAAAATATTACCCCTTAATCAAAGAAGTCTACTTTATACCAAGTTCTGCAGCAAAGATCAATGATAGTAGAGTTAAAAGCGAAGCACAGCAGGCGAGGAAGACTAAAGAGTACAGGCTCCATGCGGTCAGGGCCATGCTGTATGGTCCCCAAAGACGAACCCGGTGCCTGGAGTACAGCAAGTACACCGTAAATCCTTGTTGAGTGATCAGAACTTCTTTAATATAGCTCTAAATTATACTAACGTTACAACAAATGTATCACACAAAGGTTTAACTACTAATTTTATCCCTAAAACAAAATCTGAACAGGTAGTGGCCATGGTAACTGTTAATATGGTTACAGCAAAGCAGGTCTGGGAGTGTCAGCAGTAAGGAAGCAATCATCACTTCAATACGGGGCCCTCGAGGCCTTATATGGCTGTTGCCGAACTATGGGAGAAGCACTGTTCTCTGCTAGCTCTGCAGCTGGCTCGCTCAGGGTCTATAATCCAAACTTGACGATGGCAAAACAGCCTTTGTCTCTTCCAAGTCAATTTTCACTCTTTTAGCCAGAGATAGGCTTTGATTCACACATAAAAGTATTAAGTAATACTTTTTAGTCAAGTTGAAGAAAAGAACACTCTCAAAACTTTAAAAGAAACAGGCCAAAAATAAATTCAGTTATATTTAAACCCATTTCAAACTGGCTGACACACACACCCTATCCCATTTGTACCTTCTCAGTCATCTGAGAATACCTCTAGCCCAGCATCTGTGCCCTATAAGGGTTGTTACACATCATGTAATCAGAGAATAATGAGAGACAAAGAGAGGACTGGGAAGACATACAGAAGGGATGAGCTATCAAGGCCAGAAGATGAGAAAAACATCTCTGTGGTGCAGGGAAAGTGGGAAGATAGCTATACAAAATGACTGAGGAGCGGAGGCGAGCATGCAGGGGTCTCTGGAAGATCTCTTTATCTGAATGTTAGTAGAATCAAGCCGGGTGTGAAGAGAAGCAAGGGAAGTCTGCTCTGAGCACATACTGCTGTCTCCAGAGCCAGGGCAAACCACCACAAAGTCACCTCCCATTTGTCTTATTCCTGTCACCTTTTTCTTCTCCCTCTTTTTTCCATCTCTTCCTTTTCCTCCTGCTGCCAGGTGTGTTGGCCAACTAAGCCCCTGTGCTTCTCCTGGGTGAGTGGAAGAAGCCCATTCGAGTCCTGCCTTTGTATGAACCACTTTCAAGGAGGAAGAGGAAGAGCTCTGGCTGTACTTTCGGTGTGTCTTCAGAGGTGATCTTCATGGAACGAAAAAGGGAGGAAGAAACCACAGAAAGACCTTCACGTGTCAAGGTGACATGCACATTCTAGTGACAGTGACCTGCAGTCAGCAAGTGGATAAACAGTGTTTCTAAATTATTAACTAAACAGCAACCAGAATGCAGGATGCACTTGGGGAGGGTGCTCTGGGAGGAAGGAATGCTGCCAACTCTCAGGCCTCACTGCTGCATTGCCTGTCACATCTAAAACCTTGGCCACAGTGGCTGGGACCTGATGCCACATATTCTACGATATCCCATCTAACTGTAAAGGTAACATATACTGATATGATGGGCTTTATTAACCAGCCTGGCACTGAAGATTCAAACAGGACCAGATTACTTCAGATTTGAGGGAAATTCCCCCAATTTTGATAAGTAATTTTACTCACCCTTCGAACTGAAACATCTTGGAATAAATAATGTTTGTGCTGCTACTGCACTAAAACAACTCTAAACCCTCCAAATATATAACTTATGTCCTAAACCCACCTCAAAGGCGATTCTGTGAACCCTTCCCTGTGACTGGAAGTAGAATATGTTATCTTACTCCAAAGAACAGTGGTCATCCACAGTATTTAACAAGGTGTGTAATCTGTTCTCAGTAGACACAAACATTGAAAAGAAATCCCCAGCTTAAATAAAAATTAAAAAGAAAAACCAGAATCTAAAACTTTTGTGGAAGTCCAGTGTTGACCAAGTCAGTTTTTAAATTTTGAATACAGACATCTTCTAACTTAAAAATGTACTGAATTCTAAAGTTCGAATATAAATAAGTTGAGGAAAAGAGAGTGGTATCTCTCCACAGTAAAAATTACACACAACAAAGAATTACACACACAATAGTTAGGTTCTCAGAGCAGCCCACAAAAGCCTTTTTAACTTGTGCTCTACCCTAAAACGGCCGTAATAATACCATAGAACCATCATGAATTTAGTTAAAGTAGTATGTCTATGAGAACATGCATTCAGAGATCCATTCTGAGATGCCAGGAACCCAAAACTCTCCCTTTTGGGCAATGAAAGTCAGAGTTCCCCTTGCTCAAGCAGGCTTTGAGAATGCCCATGGTGTGGAATTTGTGGGGGAGAATCTCTGTGTTGACCATCAAGACTGGGATGCAAAGTGAGGGAAGTGAACATACTGCTTGTCTAGACTGGGAGGAAAGTCTGGGCAGACAACAATGAGAGAGAGGGCCCCAGGAAGCAAGTGGAAGCATGGGGCTTGGGGCGGTGAGGGAAGGTGCTGAAGAATGTGAACAAGGAGTTTTTCACCACTTCTTCCCATTTCCCTTGCATCCCAAATTTCTTCTACTTCTTTGTTTTTCTCCTTTTTGGAAGACTTAATGAGGAAGGACTGAGAAATTAAAGGCTATAGCAGAAAGAGAGAAGGAGAAGGGGAGGAAATTACCAGGAAGAAATAAAGTGGAAAAGATAGTCTTCTAGTTGGAGATGAGCAGGGGTTTTTCACTGTGAGATGTATGTTCATAAATCAGAAGCTTGTCTGTGTGGCTCATGCAGAGGTCCAAAGAAAAGAGAAAACAATAGCTACAACACCAAAATGTAAGAACATTTAGCAAATGCTTCCATTGCTAATCACAATCTTTTTTAAAAAGTATATTTTTAAAAAATTATTGCACACCTGTTGTGCTTTGTCAGGCACAATCTCTTCATCAAAAACACTGGAATCCAGAGTAATATATGTTCACATTTTGGGAAAAGTCACACATCTCAACTCCCATTGCAGAAATTTGTGTACAGTCACCAATTTCATGCAAGGTAGCTTACTTCAAATAGTTGTGTATCCTTCAAACAAAATGATATCCAGAAATAATTCACTTATCTCTCCTTTTTTTTTTTAACTAAATAGATATTAACTAGCACTCATTCTTTAGCGGCAACATAAACTCAATTTAAAAAAACAACATATACCTCTGTCTATTTTAAGTCAAAAGCTTATCACGTTCACTAATAAGCGGTTTAACACACATTGAAAACCTAACTTACAAACATGGACATCAATTATATTTAACAATGTCTGGGATTAGCACCTCTTTCTACAAAAATTATTTGAATAATGAAATTAACTTCACATTCTTCAAATATTGCAGAATTAGAACTTCTGCTTATGAAGTTTTGTTTGTTTGTTTGTTTGTTTGTTTTCTAGAGAGATCTATTTGGTCCTATTGGGTATAAACACAATGCAAGAGGAAATGGCATAAGTTGAGGAGTCTCTCTAGGGCTCTGCACTACAAATGAGAAAATGCTTTTTCTATCAGCCATTTCTTGCCTGGCACCGCACACCTTGGAAGCACTTGTCTACATGGGACAAAATGGGAAGAGGGGAAGTCTGAGCTGGGGAAAAGAATAACAGTCTGGGTTGAACTATAATTTTTCCTGTCTCACTGGGACCTTGAAGTTTGTTGTTGTCTTAACTTTGTTTTCATCTATTTTCCATCCACTAACTAAAGAATACATCCTAAAGGATATCTGAAAATTCCACTAGGGATTCAGAAACTTTATAGAAAGTATTTTAAAAATCTATTTCACAAGACTCATTTTCAACCTTCATGCATGCTGCTAGTAATTACGCTCAAGTGAACTTCAACGCCAATTAAAATGGAGGTGTTTTCCTGACATCAAGAGAAAATCAACGGGGTCTCTTGGAAGCCTCAGGGCAGTCAGGGTGATCATGGCAATTTCAGACATAGGGTGGCAGAAGCAATTGAAGACAAGGAAGCAGATTTAGTAAAGATTGGCATAACTGTGCTCAGAATCTCCTCTCACTTGCCAGGATAGTTTCTTTGGATTTCAATCAGAAAACACATAGCTAAAACACTTAGCTAAACACAAGAACATGTTGTGTCTAATCCTACATGTTTAGGATACCTACCCAGTCTCATGATTTCTGATAATGCTCCAAAGTAAGAGTGATCTTTGTCTTAAAATATATGACATCCTATTTATAAACATTAGACAACTAATCTGTTATGATTAGAATAGCATCTAAGTCTCTGCAGACATCATAAGAAACACAAAAATATCGATAGCACTGTTATTTACTTAAAGCTTCAAAATATTACTAGTTTTACCTCTGTGTTAACAACTTCCATTGGTCTTTTCTTGATGTCTCCAATGTCCAAGTAACTGCAGGGCAAAACAAACAAACAATAAGTTTCTTTTATTGACTTTGAGTCAGTTGAACACATTTCTTTTTTTAAAATTATTAAATAACTAGAGTGCACAAAATCCATGCATTGGTTGGGTCCCTATGCCTGGCCGTTAATCAGGGCCCATCAGGTTCCCTGCCTCCCTGCCTCCCTACCTCCTCCTTCTCTCACTCCCTCAGAGCCCTGCCACCACTGCTGGTAGCCTGCCATGTTCTGTGCCGCCCACTGGTGGCCAGCACATGTCATAGCGAGCAATCGAACTCCCCTTCTCCTGGTCAAACTCCTGAGAGGAAACTTTGCATATTAGCCTTTTATATAGATAGATAAAACAAGCTACAGGAAATACTTAAACCTACAGCAAAAATCAATAGCTACTAATTAAAAGCAATTGTAGTAGAAAATTATTTCAGCATCACCAAACAGAGCTGACACATGGCTACTCTAAACTTCAATGTAACTAAAGTCTTAGAAATACATACTTCTATTGGGGAACACCCCCATCCCCTCCCGCAATAATTAGCTGCTTATTATGTATATGGTATTTCTGATTCTTATGGTAATATAGATATGAAGACTAGTTTGTCTTTAAAGCAGCTTAATAGTTTCATTAATCACAGACTTTAGGTTTAAGTACACATAGCATGAAAAAGAGTAACAACTGTGAAAGGTTGGGAAATCTTTTTCCCTAAGAGAGCACTTTAAAATGACACAGAAATGCTCAGCCACATGGGATGGTTTAGTAATTGGTTCAAATGACAGACAGATGGTGGACTAGTTAACCTGCAGAGATCCCTGTTATTCCATTAAGATTTGCTACCGACATTAAGTATAGAGATCATTCTTTAGTAGCTATAGCATAAGCACAACTTGAAAATTATATATCTGTGTCAACTTCAAGCTATAAGTCCATCACTGTGCACTAGTTCCAATGTGCTTCATACATAGAATAAATAAATGCTTCAATATAAAAATAAATATAAATCTAGTATTTAAGCCGAAACCGGTTTGGCTCAGTGGTAGAGCATCGGTCTGGGGACTGAAAGGTCCCAGGTTCAATTCCAGTCAAGGGCATGTACATTGGTTGCAGGCACATCCCCAGTAGGGGGTGCGCAAGAGGCAGCTGGTCGATGTTTCTCTCTCATTGACTTTTCTAGCTCTCTATCTGTCTCCCTTTCTCCTCTCTGTAAAATATCAATAAAATATATATATTTTTTTAAATCTAGCATTTAATTTATAACCTTAGATATCATAGAAAGATAGGTAGGTAGATTCTCTACCTCACCTACTGTAATTAATGAATTGCGGCTAAGTTTATAATGAATTTTGGCTGTTTCATTGTTGTTGTTTGCTTGTTTGTATAGAATGTGTTAGTTAATCTATACCCCTGGAGAGTATCATGTATGTCCCTCACATATTAGTATTTACATAAGGCATTGTAAATACTCCCTCTGTTTAGCCATTTATAAATGGCTCTTTTGCAAATCTGCAGGCTGATTTCTAACATAAAATAAAAAGTTTGTCATGAGCAAGAAAGTGATCTCAGATCCACAAGATTAATCTAGTAGAGTCAATTCCCATAAATGCACAGATAATAACAATTTCTAGAACTCTCTTCTATAAAACAAAGGTTTTATTATGGTTTCAAAAATATCTGAGTAAAATAAATTGAAGAAGATAGTTGATCATTTTCATTTGAAAAATATTTTCTCACCATTGCTACCTTTCCCAACAACATTTAGGCTCTAATTCATATAATTACACTTGATATATTTTGGACTTTCTTTTGTTCTCATTGGTGGTTCATGTGTTATATAAACTTACAACTGTTAAGCTTTCAATATAATCAGCATTTAAATCTTCTTGGCTTCCATCAGTATAACTATGGATACCACTACTTTAACACAAATAAATTAACTATTCACCTGTCAGCATGGAAAACTAACCATGGAAACTATCATAACAAGCTCAGTTTCGTGTGTGTGTATGAATTAAAAGTAAGAATAACCATACAAATCTCTTATATATAAGGAGCAATTTTGAAGTGCACCTTCTATTTGGTTTGAAACTGTACCTGTTTTTATCTTTTGAGCTGGTGTCACATAAACAAAAGAGAATATGAACTACTAAAGTGAATCTATAATTTTGAACTGTTAGTAGATTCTGAAGCAGATGCCCATTCCCATGACATTGCTTTTTGTGGAAATTTTTTAATGAAAATCACCAAAGTATATGATGAAAGGAATTGGACACAGTGACGCTTTACATTTATGTAACGTTTTGGTGTTTACAAAACACAGTTACATCCACAGCGTTTACGTTTTATCACAACACTGTGAGGCAGAAATGAGGATGTTTTATTTCTGTGTGAGGAAACTGATGAGCCAAGTCAAGTGGCTGACCAAGAAGCTGATAAACAACTCATTCTCAAGTCTCCTCATTTTCAGTTTTAAGTTCTAACTTTCTCTAAAACACGCAATTTCATTTGGTTCTTTTCTAGAAAGTTAGACAAATACACTAAAGGAGGTTTCAGGAAACAGAAAACTATATCCAAATGTATCCCTCACCTTCCATAAAAAGACTGTCTGGCATAACAAGAGCAGAACACCTAGAACTCAATTTAAACAAACTTAGGAAAAGAAGGATGACATAACCGTAGACAACTTTAGTGATATTCAGGAAATACTTATGTACAGTTAAAATCAGAGTTCACAAGCACAGGTTTTATGATAAAGATTTTTTTTTTCTATTCTGAGGCCAAGCTGAATTTTAATTAAAATGTTATATTAAAAACTATGGAACATAGAGTTTCCTTATGATCCAGTCATTCTATTCCTATGTATATACCCAAGAGAAATGAAAACTTGTGCATGATTGTTCATAAAGCATTATTCATACTATCCAAAAATGAAACAATTCAAGCATCCATCAACTGATTAATAGATATAAATAAAATGTGGCATATCCATACCACAGAATGCTATACAATGATAAAAAAAAAGAAGAACTGAAACATACTTCAACATGGATGAGGAGCCTTGAAAACATTATGTAAAGTGAAAGAATCCAAGAACATAAAAGAGCACATATAGTATGATTCCTTTTATATGAAACAACCAGAACAGACATATCCATAAAGACAGAGCGGATTTGTTGTTACCAGAGTATGGGGTGGAAGGGAAATTAGGAAGTATAGGGTTTCTTTTGGGAGTGACAGAAGTGTTGTAACATTAATTTGTGGTGATGGCTGCACAGCTCCAAAAATATACTAAGACCTACTTAAATGGGTGAGGGTCATGTGACATGAACTGTATATCCATAAAGCTGTAAAAAAAGAAAACAACCTATGGGATGTTAAATTCTGCCTCCAATGCCCAACTGTACCAGAAATAATCTCTCTCAACTCTGCACTCCCACTTAACTTGAATTGTTTTTCTAATTGTACTTACTCCTTTATGCTCTACAGTAAATCGTTGATGTGCATGTAGGCTCTCTCCTGCTAGATTGTCAACTCCGAAAGAAGGACAAGGAGTCATGCCTTAATTATCTTTTCTTCCCCTCAGAGACCTGAACACAATTCGCTCATTCACCAAGCGAGCGAGCTCCTTGCCAGGAACTTGGGATGAGCAGCAATAATGACCCCTGCCCTTGAGGGTCTGGCCATCAGGTACTTAGAGACAGACCTGTGGACCAATACAGTAAGCCAGGCAAGTTTTCCAAGTTGTACACCAACAGCAACAACATGCGGGTTGTGAGGGAGGACGGTCAGTGTGGGGTGTGGTCATTTCTACTTGGAATGAAAGGTTGAAAGAATTTAAACGGGGTCAGGGAAGGGATGCAGAGAGCGATTTTCTCCTCTGGCGATTATATAGTATCTAATACTTAAAAATGATTTTAACTAAGTGTCAGGTTCAAAAAAAAAAAAAAGAAGAAGGGTGTTGGGGAGGGGAAAAAAAAAACACAGAAAATGCTCAAGTATCCCTTTGGTCACTTTTGGTTTTTTTTTTGAAGTTTCCTGTTCCTTACACAATTAAGATTGTTCCTATTGATGTCTAAGTGAAATTCCTTTCCAGTCATTCTCACCCCACCCCAGGAGCTGTGAGAGGCACCAACCCCGCAGTCCCAGCCCCTCTACCCACTGGGGTTTGGCTGAACTGGGTCCTTCTTTCTCGGCGCCCACCGCACACCCCCCTCACCGCACCTCCCCGCACCTAGCCGCGGCGGGCGGGCGGACTCACTTGAGTTTCTTGAAGGCCTCCTGGCCGCCCGCCACGTAGTTGCCTCCGCTCTGGATCTGGTCCAGCTTGCGGATGCGGTGGCCGGTGCGCGGGGTGTACAGGTTCCGGACAGCGCCGAAGGGCGCCTGAACGCCGCCCGTCACCTCCTTCAGGAAGATGTCGAAGCTGGCCACCTTCTTCTCGTGGATGATGACGCGGCGGCCCGCGAAGAAGGGGTCCCCGTTGCGGTACACCAGCACGCTCTTGACCACCGGCTGTGTGCGGTGGCTGGCCCTGGCGCCGGTGCCGCTCATCCTCCCGCGACGCCCCGGCCGGAGCCAGGGGTCCCGCCGCCCCGGGGCCGGATCGCCGGCTGGAAGGACGGGAAACAGACCACCCGGGTCACAGCGAGCAACGGCCGAGCGAGCGCCCGGCTGCGCCCCGCGGAGCCCACGGGCGGCGGAGGCGGCGGCGCCGGCACGGACTCGGGGGCCGCGGGCCAATCAGCGCGGCCGCCGGCGCCGCACCTGCTCCCGCGCGGCGGGCCCAGGTGTGACCGCCCAGGTGTGGCCGCGGGGACAGCAGCGCGTGGGCGCGGGGAGGAGCGGTGCGGACACACACCACACACGTTACAGAAGAGATGAAGCTCAATCCCTCCCATCCCGTGTGCCTTATCCTGTGCAAACAGCTTAGTGTACTCCTCCCGGCGCCCTCACCTCTCAGGCTCCCGCTGGCTCCCAAAGCAAGGAAGGTTCCGGCTGGAGTTACCCAGATGTTTCTTTGCCCAAATAATGAACCTCAAAGGTGCATCCAGAGACAGAGGAGACTGGAGCGTCCAGGACACGCCGCTCCCCAGTCTCCACACCCCCGTTTCTTCTGGGCGCCTCCCGCAAAGCTCCCAGGGGCGCCTTCGAAAACGGCCAGCGGCGGGCGGGAGAACCGGGGCAGGGCTGGGGGTTGGGGGTTGTCCCCAGCGATGCTGAGGTCCCGCGGGGGTGGGCGAGGGCTCGGTGGCTCTGCAGTGACCCCGGAGGCGCGTCCCGCCACTCACCGCTCTGCCACTGCCACCGCCTCCGAGGGCCCGCTCACCCCGCTGGGACCCGAGTTGTTAGTTCCCGCCGTTTCCATAGCAACTGCAGCCGCGCTGGGAGCAGGTTGAGTGGACTGGGCCCAGGCTCCTTGTGGGGTTTGCTGCCTGCTGCCTGGGGCAGAGGGGAGAGAGAGGTAGAGGGGTTGGGGGCTGAATGGAGGCCCGGTGGCATCCTATAAGTGGATGCCTCCCTTGCCAGGCATGGTGCTGGGTAGGAGTTAGGGAAACATGAGTTTGTGAAGAGAATAACCTGGAGTGTTCTGCATGCCTAAGACATGCATAGCTTTATGCTAAGAAAGGCTTCTTCACAGCCTCAGGAAGGCTGCGTGTCTACATTTTGCCCACACACAATGGTGAAAAGAAAGTGAAAAGAAGCAAGTCCTAAAAAATGGCAGGTGTGAAAACATAAGGAGGAGGAGCTGGAGCCGCTGATGGTGAGGGAGAGCACTTCTTCCTTCAGTGCACCCTCCAGTTGCTTCTCTATCCAATCCTGCTTGTGGTGGGCTAGTGCCTGAGAGAACCGGTGTGTGGCCCATTTTAGCAGAGGGGGGACGGGGGAGGGCGGGGGGAGTCAGCCAGGCTTCTTACACAGGTAAGCCTTGTCAGGGGACAGTATCAGTTTGTTGTCCAGAAAGAAGCGATAAAGGAGCAGCTTATCCTCAAATGTGCGTGGGTCCAGGTACCCTCTCAAGTTGACCCAGTCACAGAGGCCAGCGACAATTGAGGAAAGGAGTCTTCAATGCCTTCAACTTGCTAGTGGTGTGCCCGTGAGCTGCCTGCAGCTGGGAGCAGTTCGTGGGCAGATACACTTTGCCAATCCATTCTCTGTCCCGGAGCAGCCAACACTGTGCCCAAGAGCCCACACCCATGATGTTGGTGGAGATTTAGATGAGATAGGGAAGAATGAGGATCTTTGAGAATATGAAGTTCTCTCTGGTGCAAACATATTGTCGGATCAGGAAAATCGTTTTAAAAAATTGAAATCTTCCAGCTCATCAATGCCAGGGTTCCATTTATTCCTCCTAAGATCTTGCTACTATGTGTCATGTGCAAATTTGATTGTTGGGTGTTCCTAAGTCATCATATGAATAAAATAATCTTTATAATAACTTACCATTAACTGAACACTTACCATGTGCAGGCATTATTAGCCACTTTACGTAGATTATCTAATTCAATGTTCTCGATAACCTTCAGAAGTAAATACTAGTCTTTTCTCAAACAAGGAAACTTGAGATGTAGAGAAACCAAAGAAATTTACTTCTGGTCACAGCAAAAATTCAAACCCAGTCCTCTGATCCCAGAATCACTTTCACCACCACGTAATATTGATACCAAACTGAGAGGTGAGTATGTAGAACATTGCCATCTGGACAGAAACATTTGTATTAAAAGCTACTTAACATATTAATGTCTTGCAAGTTAACAATATTCCAATGAAGAGTAAAGAGAAAGGAGCATTACAGAGGGAAAATAGCAGGAAATTCTGTGAGCTGGTTGGAAAGAATATGTGTGTTAAGGGAACCAGTGGGAATATTTGCATAAGCACAGCCAAGTAGGTGAATTGAGGCAGAATAGCTGTTCTGAGGGATGGATGGCACCTAGATCAGCCCAGTGCAAAATGAAAACACGTTGTTGGAAAATTAATAGTTTTAAGAAGGCAAAGGCAGAGCATTAAACCTAGCACCTCTTCCTTCTATCTATAGGCTCCTGTCGCCAGCCCATGAAGCTGCCTCAAATCTATGTTCTAACTCCCACAACAGTATCTCCATCCCAGATTTGTCTCCGGAGTCCAGACCCATTTATCCAGTTGCCTCATAGACAGTGATATGGTGATAAATGTTCATTACACGTACATTTAATGTTTTTAATGTAATGTATTTAGTTGTGCATTTATACAATTTAATTTTTAATAAAGACCATGTTTTAAATCCTGGATGTGGTGGTAAATGTTCAAATTTTTTTTGTTTGTTTTTTATTTTGTTAATCCTCACCGGATTTTTTTTTTTTTCATTGGTTTTTAGAAAAAGTGGAAGTTTTGGGGGAGAAAAAGAGAAAGAGAAATATCAAAGTGAGAGACACATGAATTTGTTGCCTCCCAAAGGGGCCCCAATTGAAACAGGGATCAAACCTGCAACCCAAGTATGTGCCCTTGACTTGGAATCAAACCTGTGACCCTCTGGTGCACAGACCAAAGTTCTAACCATTGAGCACACTGACCTGGGCAAATGTTCAATGTTTTAAAAGTAATGTATTTAATTTTACATTTAAATTATTTATCTTTTTTTTTTTTTTTCTTTATCTTTAGTTAAAAGTATTACAGATGTCCCTTTCCTCCCCCCCCCCCCCATATGTCCCCTCCACTCTGTTCCCACCTCCTCCCCAGGCCTTCACCAAACTATTGTCTATAGATGGGTTATGCATATATGCATATAAGTTCTTTGGTTAAGCGCACACACGCACACACACTTCTTTCTGAAACAGAATATATGATTTAATTTTTAATAAAGACAATGTTTAAAATTCCTGGAAATTTAACAATTGACTATAGCAAGGCACTCCACAGAGGCTGTCAGGCTTGATCATGAAGATCAGGGCTACAATGAGAAGCTTTTTCAGAGAGATGCTGGGGGACTTCTGAGAACACACATAAAAGGAATGAGCGGCAAGAAAGGGTTTTGTTTTTAAGCTTCTTCCTAAATGTGTGAAAGGCACAGAGAGTGAGAGATAGCAAAAGAGGACTCTTAAAGAAGACTTATTGTGCATTAAATGTAATACCATGAATATATTTGCCATTTCCTCACAAGCCTGAGTAAATCTCTGAAATACTTCCAGTTATATTTTTCTTCTAAAATAATTATTATTTTAACCTAATACTACACTGAAAGAAGACCTGGATTTATAAGTCAGTCACCAAATTTTATCGATTCTATTTCTAAATGTTTCAAGAATCTATGTGCTTATTTCCAAATCCATTTCCACTTCCTGAATTCCAGGCACTGTCATCCCCTAAAAGGCACCCTGTCTCCAATACTGCTTCCCTATTATCCATTCTCCACAGAACAGCCAGCCCGAAAGACTGGTGAAAAACACAGATGTATTTGAGTCACTTTCAAGTTTAAAACTCTTCAAATCCTTCCCACAAGTCAACAAATGACAAGTGCTGGTGAGGATGTGGAGAAAAAGGAGACCTCCTGCACTGCTGGTGGGAATGCAGACTGGTGCAGCCACTGTGGAGAACAGTATGGAGTTTCCTCAAAAAACTAAAAATGGAACTCCCATATTGACCCAGTGATCCCACTTCTAGGAATATATCCCAAGAAACTAGAAATACCAATCAGAAAGGATATATGCACCCCTATGTTCATAGCAGCACAATTCACCATAGCTAAGATTTGGAAACAGCCTAAGTGCCCATCAGCAGATGAGTAGATTAAAAACCTGTGGTAGATCTACACAATGGAATACTATGCTGCTGTAAAAAAGAAGGAACTCACCATTTGCAACAACATGGATGGAGCTGTAGACCATTATACTAAGTGAAATAAGCCAGGTTGAGAAAGATAAATATCACATGATCTCACTCATTTGTCGAATATAATGAACAAAATAAACTGATGAACAAAAATAGATCCAGAGTCAGAGAAATATCAATCAGAATGTCAAACCTCAGAGGGAAGGTAGGGGACAGTGGGGATCAGGGGTGGAGATCAAGCAAAGGACTTACATGCATGCATATAAGCCTAATCAATAGACACAGACAACAGAAAGGTGGGGCATGAATGGGAGGTGAATAGGGGAATAAGGACACATATGTAATACCTTAATCAATAAAGAAATTTAAAAAAAATCCTTCCTGTTTTTTTTAAGAGAAAATCCAGCATCATCAACACTGATTACAAAGTCCTGGGTGTGATGCTGCCCATATTGCTGTGACTCCCATCTCTTCTCTCAAGACTCTCCCTCTGCCTTTTCAGTCAAGGTCTATCCTCCCACTTCCTTTAATATTCCTTTGGATATATGTTATGGTTGCTTCTCTCACTTTGACATTTTTTTGGCTCCTTCCAAATAATACTTCAAGCTCCAACTTAAATGTAATTTCTCCATGAAAACTTTCTATCCCCCTCCCCAGATCAGAATAGTCCTGCCCATGTTATATACAGTATATGTTTCCCCATACTTCTTACTAATTATAATTATAAATCCTTGTACAATTATGTTTGATTAAGATTTTGTATACTTATATGTCTAATCTTTGTAGAATTATGTATTTATATGTGTAAATTCTCTAAAAGAAAGGACTGTGGCTGTTTTA